AGGGCCCAGACACCAAACCCTCTGTGAAGCTCATGTGGTAACAGATCCTCAGTAGGAAGGGTTTGGTTATTTGTAGGGGAGTCCTATTTCCTGTGATTATAATGAGGCAATATTTTAGTGTGTATAATTATGGAATAATTACAGACATAGAGAAATGAAAGCTGCAGGAAGGTTAAATCCCAGCTCAGCTGACAGTTAACTGGAGATAGTTGCCACATAAAAACCAGGTGAAATATTGCGTGGAATAGGATCTCTGGATTTCTTGTTCAACAGCTAAGGGTATTTTTTACACTATTTGCCACTCTCAGGGTCAGATTTATCACCAGAACAGCCTCCCTGACAGAAATGTTGCTTCTGGGCTGGGCTGGGAGCTGCTGTCTCTACGAAATAGGAGAGTGAAGACTTGAAAGGAACTTTCCTGGTGTTTTTTTGGCTGGTTCACCGTGGAATCCCCCGAAACACGGAATCCCAAACAGCTGCTTGTGCTGAGATTTCACCAGTGTGGGATTAAATGGTGTTCCTGCCCTGGCATTTGGGTGCTGGAACCTCTAAAACCCAGGCTCAGTCACCTGCATGTCTTGGCTCTTCTCTCTTCCAGGTTTTCCAGGAATTCCCACAGTTTTCCCCGTGGTCCTGCCGTGTCCTGCAGGATCTCTGCTCTCCACTGCTGCTCCCTGCTGACAACCCGTGTCCTGAGGGACCACCCAGGCTGGGCCCCCCCCCAAATTTTCAGGCTCCTCTCCAAAGCTGGAATCCGCTTTCCAAGGTAGGAGCATTCCTGGGAAAGGGATGGAGCTGTTGGATACCCCTGGACAGGGGTTGTGGCTCCCTAAAAAGCACAGAGGTGTTGGAATGGGTGTGTTGCGGGCAGGAAACTTCTCACACCGAGATGGGAGGATTAGATATTGGGGAGGAATCCTTCCCTGGGAGGGTGGGGAGGTCCTGGAGCGGGTTTTCCAGAGAAACTGTGGCTGCCCCATCCCTGGGAGTGTCCAAGGCCAGGTTGGAGCAACCTGGGCTGGTGGGAGGTGTCCCTGCCCATGGCAGGGGGTGGCACTGGATGGGCCTTAAGGTCCCTTCCAACCCAAAACATTCCATGGCTATGACTCCATAGGGGTAAAACTCTCCAACCATGGGGTTTATTTTCAATTTTCACAGCATTAATAGAAATAAAAAGCTCCTTGAGGGACCATCAAGGGCTGGATGGAGCTTCAGTGGGTGCCACGGGCTGGGGCACCACGTGCACCCCCTGCTCCTGCCTCAGGGCACG